AATGGGAGCAGGGAGAAGATGGAGTTGAAATTTGAGGAGGTATTTGGGATGGTTCAGAGCTGCTCTGGGCCGGGTATGATTGTGAATTATGGGGAATTGAGTGGTTTGATCAGTGAAGAAGAAGAAGAAGGAGAAGGAGATGAAGTTACTAATGGTCTGAGTTTTGTGGTATCTCAACTGACGGATTTGTTGAAACTTTACAGTGGGAAATTGTGGCTGATTGGAGCTGCAGGGAACTACGAGATGTACGAGAAGTTCGTGGCTCGGTTTCCTGCCATTGAAAAGGATTGGGATCTTCATCTTCTTCCCATTACTTCCAAGTCTCCGGTTGATGCGTTTGGGGCTAAATCCAGGTGCCTTTATTAGCTTTTTATTTATAGTTTCTGGTCTAAACTGGGCAGGTCCATTTTTTAATATTACTTTAGCTGATAGAAATGATTGAAACTGAGCTTTTTTCTGTTGCCTTCTTTTTGCCGTTTCTGCATTTTTTTAATCTGCTTGAAATGAAATGAGGAAGAGGAACAAGAAGAAAGAAGAAGAAGAAGAAGAAGAAGAAGAACCATCTTTTTTTTCTCTCTTTCTCTCTGTTCTTCTGATCTCTGCTGTGTATTTTCTTTGAGATTGAGAATTGTTTATTGAAACATTGTTAGTATAATAAGGGTTTCTGCTGTTTACTGGAATGGGTATGAGCCTTGGGGTTCGGTTAAAATTGGAGAGTGAACTGGGGAGAGAGAAAAGGGGGGGTTATTAACAATGTTCTCGGTTCTCGTTTCTCATTTCTTGTATTTTACTTTTGTAATTGGTTTCTTTTAGAAAAATGTGCTGCTGGGTGATTGTTTATTGATTCTCGTTCGTCGAAAAAAGAAATAGAAATATGTTTGGCAACCGACTTTCTTTCTTGTTTCTTTTGCAATTCAAATTTATGAACTGAAGTTGTACTTGAGAAATAAAATATTCATAATGATTTTGTTATACTAATTTTGGAATGTTAGCATACGTTTCTTTTTTGAGAAAAATTGAAAACAACAAACCAGAAAGAATTAATTGAATGGAACAGGACACTGATGAAATGACTTGAATAGTTTTGAAACACGAACGCTTTAGTTTGGTAATGTCTACTGTTCGATCCTTGTTCGACACTTATAGAACACTTGAATTCTGTTGATACATATTTTTTTGTTTGGTCTGAAAAAGTTGATGAAAATACAGACAAGATATTTTTTCGAGCATATAATTACATGCACATAATTGGTTTTAAATTGTCATTTTTACAAGATGGTGAATCATTTGGAAACTTATTCGATATCTTCTCGAGATGTCGCTAGAGAATTTTGATAGAATCATGTTTTGAACGTTGTTCCATGTATGATGGATCTCACAGTTCATGCTTATAATTTTGCAGCTTTATGGGATCGTTTGTTCCATTTGGTGGATTTTTCCCTCCGCAATCCAAGTTTTCGAGTCAATTAAGCAGCCCGAATCAGTCTTTTACTCGCTGTCGTCAATGCAACGAAAAATATGAGCAAGAAGTTGCTGCTATATGGAAGCCAGGATCTGCTTCTGTCACAGGTCGTCACTCCGAAAGCTCATTGCATTTGCCAATGGCTGAACTTGATGAAAAAAGCAAGGAATTTGACGTGTATAAGGTGTGTAACTCTTTCGAAGTCGATTTCTTTGACATCTCTAGTGTCGTGGATTTACTGCCCGAGTAATTATGTTTTTATGAACTTCTTGATCCAGTGCAGACCCGAGATGACAGAAGTACATTGAGCAACAAGGTAATTGGACTACAAAAGAAGTGGAACGAAATCTGCCGACTTCATCAGAGGCAACTGTTTACAAAACTTGATATTTCCCAGAGCAGGCACGGGATTTCGTTTGAGTCGACTCGATTTGCTTTAGATCACGAACGAAGTGGTAAAGAACCATCATCTGTAACTGGGGAAAGATCTGTACTTGTAAATCCGTGCTTATCTAGAGACTCAAAGCAGGGCAGTCAGGTATCAGAAACTTTCAACTCTCACAACGATAATTTTCAACCAAAAATTGTAACCGGAGCCTCTCAGGGTATCGAGACCGAGAGTCTTCGATTTTTCTCAAAGACTGTTCCTAAACCAAAAGAGTGTCTCCACTCTGATGCATTATTACCTTCACCCCACATCTCTGTTACTACTGATTTGGGTTTGGGGACATTATATGGATCAGCCAGTGAGAACAAGAGAAAAGTTTCAGAATTAGAAAGTCAGAAAGTTTGCATTCAACACTTAACAGGCTCCAATCCAGCACAGTTTAGTAGGCCGACGAACAATAATCCGAGCCATTCCCCCGGTTTCTCTGATCTGAATGCTGGAAAGCCGCTCGATATAAGAGAATTCAAGTCACTCTGGAATGCACTGAATGAAAAAGTTAGCTGGCAAGGTAAAGCCACAAGTTCTGTTGTTGAAACCATTCTTCAATGTCGAACTGGTGGTGGAAGGCGCCGTAGCTCGAATTCCAGGGGAGATATTTGGCTAACGTTCCTTGGACCTGATTTAATTGGAAAGCGAAAAATTTCCGTAGCTCTTGCTGAGTTGATGTTTGGCAGTAGGGAGAATCTAATCTCGGTCGATTTTGGCTCACAGGATAGAGGTCGCCGACCGAACTCACTCTTTGACTGCAAAGGTTTAGGTGGTTATGATGAGAGGTTTCGAGGAACAACAGTTGTTGATTATGTTGCTGGGGAGTTGAGCAAGAAGCCATCCTCAGTTGTCCTCCTTGAGAATGTAGACAGGGCCGATATTCGGGCCAAGAGTTGCTTGTCCCAGGCGATCATGACTGGGAAATTTCCCGATTTACACGGGAGACAAATTACCATACATAATACAATCTTTGTAACGACGTGGACGAACAAAAAGGGTGGGAAAACTTCCAATGCTGTTGATGAACAGAGTGAATTTTCCGAGGAGCGAATACTCACAGCCAAAAGTTGTCAAATGCAAATACAGGTAGGAGGTTTTACCAGCAATGTCAGTGAACTCAACAACATGAATGTTAGGATTACAACCGCCCGAGGAAGCTCGAGCCTCTCGTTCTTGAAGAAGAGGAAACTTGCAATCTCCACGGAGTCCACAGACCGGGAAACCAACTCAGAGATGCAGAAGAAGGCATCATCATCATCATCAATGTCCTACCTAGACTTAAATCTACCAGTAGAAGAGGTCGAAACCAGCGACTGCGACAGCGACTCAATCTCCGAGGGCTCAGAGACATGGCTAGACGAGTTCCTCGAACAAGTAGACGAGAAGGTTGTCTTCAAACCGTACGACTTCGACGAGGCAGCAGAGAAGGTAGTGAAGGAAATAAACTCGCAGCTGAGAAGGGTGTTCGGGAACGAAGTCGTGCTGGAGATCGAGTACAAGATCATGGTCCAAATGCTGGCAGCAAACTGGGTAGCAGAGAAGAAGAGGGGGATGGAAGAATGGGTGGAGCTGGTTCTCCATAGAAGCTTTGTGGAAGCAAAGGAGAAGTATGAGATAAGTTGTGGAACTGTGATAAAGCTGGTTTGTAGAGAAGGAGGGGCAGGGGAAGAAGCAGAGGCAGGTCCCATTTTTCTTCCTGCTACAATCAAAATCAACTAAAAATTTTGGAGCCTTTTTTTGTTGGAATGTAAATTGTTATTATTATATTTGTATAATGTATGTAGTTGTAGGATTTTCATAGTCTTTCTGGAGTTTGAAAAAAAAAGGGGGTTTTTGGCTAATGATCTTCTTAAATTTTTGGGCAATCCAATCATCTTTGTTTTCTTTTGTATAGTTTTTTATTTTTATTTCTTGAAACTTTGCAGTGATGTTTCTCAACATTATTTTCTCTTCCGTCACAGATTTCTCTGAATACTTGAACTTAACTAAATATATTTATAAATTAATCGTGCCACCCAATCAATCCGGCCGAATATAAATTGTTGTGTAGTCTATTTTTAACCTCTTAATTACACGTGTCATAGGTAAATTACCAATTTGACCATAGTGATATATTTTTTTTAAAATTTGGGTTAGATTATAGAATGAAATCCCTTATTCTCCCTCTCTCAAACCGTAGTCTCTCTTCTCTCCCTCCTCTTGAGGAAACCCAATGGCATACTTTCTTTATCTCTCTCTCCTTCTCTCCCTCCCTCCACGGGAAGAAAGCAAAAATGGCAACGGAGAAGGCGAAAGCAGCAGCCTTCCTAGCATCGTCGTCCGATGTCCCTATCGGTCACATTGCTGTCGTCGGAATTTCCTTGGTGGTGTTAGGGTGGTAGGCAACAACGAGGGGGTGGACGAGACTGAGAGCCATTAGTTGAGTGGTGTTGGGTTGGGCGAGTGCGATGAGGCAACCCAATTCAGGTGAGAGTGAATAAACTGTCGAAAATTGAAAGGCCATGAGGGATAGGGATGGGAACCTGACCCATTTGGTTCCTCCCGTTTCTCCAAGCAGAGAAGCTCAAGAGAGAAGACCAATGGACATGAAATCCAGCAGGATCGACAAAACACAATTTTTGGAACTGACAAGGTAAGACAGTGTCAAAACCCCACCAGCTACAGCTACGACTTCTGTCTTTTCTACCCAAGCCCAACTTGGTATCTAGAGGCGCTACGACAAAGACACTCGAAAGAACCACCGATTTTTAGACGAATCTAGACTTTACTATATGAATTTGCTGATGAGAAATTAATGTCCCTGTATAATTTCTCTTTCCACAAAAATATCCAAACACATTCCACAATATGCAAATAAGGAAGAARCTGTAAAACACAAAATAATACGACACACCAAAATTATACTGGATCACCCCAACAATTTATGGGCTACGTCCAATAGCACTCAAATATCTCCCCACATATTCACTCTCTAGAGGTCCCAACAAAAACCCTCTAACTTTTAAGTATTATAACACACTATACTTAGGTAAATGAATGAAAAACACTCACAAAATCCATCGGATAAATAATCCTTTTCAACACTACCTACAACCACTCAAGTCTCTTTTAACTTTAACATAAAAGACTCTATTTATAAGAGGCCAAATATAGTAATATTGTAATGCTTATAAGACAATAATATCTACTTCTGGTAGGAATTGGTAATAATGTTGAAAATCATTTTCTTTATAGGACATGTGTTTTTTGTTTTGGCTCCATAATTCCAACACCCACCACCTACAACTACGACTTTTGTCGTTTTTTACCCAAATCCAACTTGGTCTCTAGAGGTGTTATGACAAAAACACCTGAAAGAACCGCAAGTTTTTAAACGAATCTAGACTTTACCGTATGGATTTGTTGATAACAAATCAATACTACATATACTATATTTCTAGTTAATATACGTTGAATATATGCAACATATACCCTAGAAATATTACTTCAATAATACTGTTTAATATGAAGTTGCTTATATGGATTATATTTTGTTTAATATGAAGTTGCTTATATAGATTATATTTTGGGTATATGCTGCATAAAATCTGTAATGTTAAATCATACTTAATTTTGTAGACATTATATAGTGTTATGAATGACATTTTGTTAAGGAAAGTTCTTCAAAACATAAAGAAAGGTTCCACCAATATGTCATACTATTTGACGTTTATGAAGCAAATTTTTGAGAATTTAAATCTTGCAGGAGAACTGGTCACTTTAAATTATTTGATGTCTTGTGTTTTGTCAGGTTTGGAGGCTGAATATATACCAATAGTTTGTGAAATTAAAGTTAAAGATTATATCTCTTGACAAGAACTCCATGCAACTCTACCAACTATAGAGAATACTCTTGTGAAGTTGAATGTTGTTAATCTCAATGTTAATGTGGATGGAACTGCCAATTATGTCAGAATCAATTGGGAATAAGTCCCAAACCCAACAATAAAACAAGAATGGGAGAATGAAAGAGGGAGAGGATGAGGGAGGAATAGTGGTTACAGAAACTCTCCCTCAAAGAAAACTTGTCAGTTGTGTGGCAAGTATGGTCACACTGCTCTATTGTTGTGCCTTTGCTTAATATTCAGAGGGTAAGTGCAAGTGTACACTAGTTTGTCTCCATATGGACTAGTTTTCTTTTAAAATTGATTTTGTATATTGCTTAAATGAAAAAAGTGGTGAAATTGTTAGGAACACGATTTTAAAACACAAAGATTAAAATGTCAACCCCCTACTAAAATTCAGTTCTAAAAAGATGAACTACACCTACCAAATATGTCCGTAATTATGCTCAATTTATGCAAACTGGTTCAACTCCTATTTCATACCGCTTCTGGTTTGTTTAGAAGCTTAAGCTAGCGTTTACATATGTCTATGAAACTCTAGAATCCTAAATAAATGAAATTTCAACTTACGTTTAACGGGTAAGAGAGCCTATGTCTACGATCTTGTTTTAGTTCTTATTTCTAAATAACTTTCCGTTTTACCTTGATGATATCCGTTTGACTCAAACCTTTTCACAATTAAATTCAAACTAATGTGATTTAACAAGTGGCCAACAAGAAAATCAACCGGATAAATTGTATGAATCAAGATAAGCAAAGAGGTGTAATACGCCATGCTCACTGATAGATGTAATTTAAAATAAATGAATTAAATCATTCGTAGGAGGGTTGAAGAAATAATTTAACTACTCATGGAATAAAAGAATTGAAATAATGCATTTTCATTGAAGTTGGAAAGAAAGTACAAAATTAGAACAAATATAATTGAAATAAACTAAACAAATAATAATTGCAGAAAAATTAATTAAAGAACAAAACTTAAATCCTAGACAAAAACTCAAAAACTAAAGTTGATAACAAAGTAGAAAGTAAGAACAAAAGCATGGAAATGAAGTGTGTTGAGATGATCTTGAGAGCTCAATTTATAGGCTTGGGAGGTAACAAAGTGTTGAGAATTCCATGGGAAGTTGGTAACCACCAGTTGTTGTAGAGATCTTAGGAAAGGAGACCAAATATTGGACCAATTACTTGGTAAAAGTGGTTATTCACGTTTTGATAATCTAGATATCGAATGTGGTTGAAGCATTGTGAAGCTGAATCTTTCAAAATAAGGTGGCTGGTGCATTGCTCTAGTAAGCTGCCAACAAAATAAATATATTTACACAAATTAGCCTTCACTTACTGATAACTAAATGACTGCATCCTTAAATATCAAATTTTTTGCTAAGATAGATGCATGATCATACACTTTTCATCATCCTAAATAATCCTCAACTAAGCATGCAAATCTATTCTTTTAAGCCTTTAATCAAGGCTTATGAGTATGTTTCAAAGGGTTCAACCATGAGTTCACAAGAGTGCATGCTAGTGGTAGTCTTATATTGCAATTTGTTCTAAGCATCGAGGTTGGAAGTTGACACGCAAGATGATGTGCAACAAAATTACCCTTTGTGTTGATGAAGCTATAGTGAGCAGCCAAAACACGTTTGAAATTTGAGCGTATAGTGTCACAATCGCACCTTTTCAAAGCAGCTCGAGCGATTGTGCGGCACTTGCTCTAGCTCAAACGAGCAAGTCAGCCGGGAAAAACTGTAAGTTGGGGACAATCTCGGTCGTGGGTCTAGCCTCCGCTCACGTTTTAGGAGAAAATTGGTTTTAGAAAACGTGAGAGAGAAAAACAGTTGAAAACATCTTTAAAACAAGCATTGTAGACATTGGATGCAAGAAAGCTTTGATTGCAAGAAAGTATACAACACTTGGTCGGGGGGAGGTTTGATGACTACTTGGTCTCCCCCCTAAGGTACATTATAAGGCATTTTTGGTGTGGCAGGTGTAGACGTCCTAAGTGGCAAGGAGTCACTCGGTGGCCTACAGGGCCCG